TACGTATATACATATTATATACACGTACATGTAATCGATGTACATACGTGTATGCGTGTACACTGTACGGCAGGTGCAGCGTGTGCACGTCGAATCAATTCGAACGAGACGAGAAGCTTTTTCGAGATTTCGAAAATTTATTTCAAGAGAAAAAAAAAAAGAAGGATTGCAAACGATAAAGAGAGAAATTATTTTCCAATCTTTTTTATACCTCTCGGAGAACAGAGGAGTTCGATCTTCGGTATTTAAGTCGTCCCATTCGTAGGTCAGTCCACGCGCGCAGGTTGAACGAGCACGCTCGTCTCCAGGTGCACACGTGAGCAACGAAATAAACGGAATGGAATCGTGGACTGGCACACGATTCCTCTCGCACACGCGCATCCGCCAATGGAGGGACTTCCGCGTGTCCGTGTACGCGTGTATGTATGCACATGCATCACGATGTCGTATATATATACGCTCGAATATTTTTCTATATTGCTGTCACGTTTGTCATTTTTTCCTTTCCAATGGTTGTTTCTTTCTTTCTTTCTTTCTTTCTTCTTTTTTTTCTTTCCACTATATATATATATATATATACACATACACATACACGTATACACAACCACATATACTTTCTTATCTCTGTCGTGTCTCTCCTTTTCGTTTCTCTCTCTTTATCTATTTATCTCTCTATCTCTCTCTCGATTTCTGCGATTTTTCTTCTCTCTTCTGTCACGAGTATTATGTACGTATACACGAATGGACACAAAAAAAAGTACACACGAATATATTTCTATATTCTCTGGTACATGGACGTTCGATCACATAGGCCCTAGTAGATTGTAATTTTTTGTGCTCTCTGTTTATCGTCTCTCTCTCTCTCTCTCCTTATATTGTCTCTCTTTTGTGTATATTGCGTATATCGCGCGACACTCGACGATCCGCGTCCTTCGTCGAACTGCTTCATCGATCCATCCTTCTTCTCCCGTGTGCGCGAAAATTGCAAGTTTTTTTCGTAAGGGAGGGGAAGGGAAGGGGGTAGAGTGGAGTATAGTTTCGATAAGCGAGAATTGTGTTCGGAATCGAAGGGGAATCGCGCACGAGTTGGGAAGTTTTGAAAGAGTTTTTTATTTTTAGGAATCTTAGGAGGATCGGAGGATATTACCAGAACTTCCAATTCTTCGATTTTTCCCTGATTTCCGAATTGTCGAAGTTTTGGAGAATTTTTCTTCTTTTTTTAAATATATTTAAAGTTTTGAAATCGAATACGAGAAGAAATTCAAAGTTTTTTCAAATATTTTTATAAATTTTCGAATTCCAAATTTATGATTAAATTTTTGAATCTCTAAATTTCTTAAAGAAATTTGAAGTTTGAGAAAACTTTTCAATTTTATATTTAATTTTGTTCTACAATATCTAAAATTTTCAAATTCAAAAACTTCTATATTTTATAATCCTGGAATATCAAAAATTCTCAATTTCCAAATTTTCAAACGGTCAAATTTTTCCAAACACGCTCAAAGATTCAGAAAATTATTTAAATTTTATAATCCTAGAATATCGAAACCCTCGAAAAAAATTTTCGATCAATCGAACTTACTCCTGGAAAAACTCTTAAAAAAAAAAAAATTCAAAGATTCAAAATTATTGAGATATTCCGAAGAATCTTTCTCGTAATCCTTCAAATAGACTATGCATTGTCTCTTCGATCCTCCAAGATCTCACCGAGGCTTAAATCCTTAACACCATCAAGCGACCCAACTCGAGGACTTCCCCTCCCCGAATGCCATCGAAATCCGCGAGTCTCCTTCGCAAAGTTTCCGGCCGAATATGCATTGGTCGCTAGGGA